GCTTCCACCTGGCTCCCTGCTCCCCCTGGAATCCAGCTGAAGAGCACGTGGGGAGGCCACATGCGGCTGTTCTGACTGACAGCCCAGCCAGGCCCCAGCAGCCTGTGCGCCGGCACCCCTTCAGAGGCCTCCAGCCCCAGCCCCAGTCCCTGGGTTTCCCACCGGGACCACAGACAGTAAGCAGGGACAAACCTTTGCTGATGGGCTCCGACCACATTCCAGACTCACAGAGACCACTGAGGTGACACGATTTTTGCCACTGGAAGCCACTGAATACTGTGCTACTGGGCAATAGATAAGAGAGAGAGGGAGAGAGGGAGGGAAGAGGGACACGAGGAGAAAGAGATGGCGTGGTGTGCGGAGAGAGGCAGAGACACACGAGGGCCGGAGAGAACCGCCCACCCTGCACGGCCAGGCTTTTTAGGTGCGGTTGGCCTGACAGTCTCCATCCACCCTGTCCCCAAAGCAAACCAAAGACCCCTTGTGACTTAGCTGGCTGCAGGGGTGTTGGGTCTGTGTCTTGCTGCCCGACCCTCTCTCACAGGACAGACTCTTACCCTCGGTGTTAGCGGCGGAGGACTTACTGTCCTCCCCGGGGCCTTCTTGGAGGTGTCCAGGAATGCAGCCCGCAGACAGAGCCCAGCTGCAGAGCTTGTAATGAGGAGTGTGAAGGAAGGAAAAGACCCCGCTAATCCGAGGAGCGCCAAGGGAGGGTGCTGTGATGCGACAGTGTGTGGGCTTTATAGCACAAAAACGGAGACGTGTACATGCTTGGTGGGGGCATGTTCCTAGGGCTTGGCTGAGATAAAAAAAAACTCCTTATTTTTCAGGCTGAATTTTCCAGGTGTCCAGGAGGTGGCTTTTTGTTTACTGTGAAGCCATGACCCTAGGTCCCTCCTGACTGCAACTCCCTGGGGCCTTGAGTCTCACTGGGGCCTTGAGACTTCCTGGGGCCTTGAGACTTCCTGGGGCCTTGAGCTCTATCTGCCTGGGTCCCACTAACGCCTGCCTTACTGGGAATTCGGTGCCCAGGGAAGGCCGGGCTTTCCTGCCAGCCTCGGCTACTGGGCTGCTGTGGGTGGAGTGCTCCTGCAACCTCTCTAGAGCCCACAGCCTTTCCCTGCTTCTGCCTGCACACAGCAGCCAGCGTGCCCCCTTCCTCACCACAGGGCTTGTTAAACCCAGTGGTTCCCCTGTGCCCCAGGGCAGCGTCTGCACGCACAAGGCCCAGCATCCCCACTCCCCTATCCATCCCTGGGCTGAGGTACTCCTCTCTCTGTGGCGAACTTCCAGCCCTGCGGCCTCCTGCACCGCCTCCTGGGGGTGTCCACATGCCCTTCACCCCCTAGCTCGCTGGTGCTTTGTGATTCTGCCACCATTACTGGGCGCCTGGGTTTCTTGTGGCTGCCCCAACACATGACCACAGACTTGGTGGCTTGAAACAGCAGAGTTGTATTCTCACAGTTTGGAAGGCAGACGTCTGAAACTGAGGTGTCTGTGGCTGTGGGCCCCCTGGAGGCTTCCCAGCTGTGGCTGGCCCTGCTTCCTTGGCTGCCTCTGCCCAGGCCTTCGCACTGCGTCTGCATCTCAGATCGCCCTCTGCCTTTCTCTCATAAAGATACCTATCAGTAGATTTGGGGCCTATCTTAAATTCAGGGCAACTGAGACCCTTAGCTTATATCTGCAAAACCCGTTTTCCCAAATAAGGTCACATTTACACGTCTCAGACACTGGAAAGTAGACTTGCCTTTTTGGACGGTCACTGTTCACCCCACTACCCCAGGCTATGGGTTCCAGGGACCAGTTTGGCCCAGCCTGTGCCCTGGACAGGGCATGGCGGCTGCACAGGGTGGCCTGTGGATTCTGGCCAGTGAATGACTATCTATCTGCTCAGTAACAGGTCCTGCTGCTCCTGTGAGAGGATCAAAACATCCAGCCGCCAGGCGCAGCTTTCGAGGAAGCTCTGCGTCTGCCAGGGGAGACAGAACCACTCCCTGAGCAGCTGTGGGTCAAGGTGAGAAGATAGTGTGGAGGGCGGGGTGGAGGCTGGCAGGGAGCCCAGGCGCCCAGCTGGTCGGGTGGGGACTGCGGATGTGTGGGGCAGGAGGGGCCCGGTGTGTGCACACACTGCCGTCCAGCAGGGAGCCTTGAGAGCAGTCAGAGGGTGGAGGGCGGCTCAGTGGTGTGTTGGGAAGGCTCCTAATGCCAGCTGAGGAGTCCAGGGGTTAGGAATTCATCAGCGGAGTGACAGTCTGAGTTGCAGCTGGTTGCAGGCCAGGAAAAACTAACCCAGTGGAAAGGGGGGAAGTGAAGGCAAGGCAGGGCAGTGGGGGGCAATGTGAGGGGCAGGGGCCCCACTCACTCTAGCTTGAAATAGGGAGCCCTCCAATCCAGAGCCCCTACAGTCTAGAGCAAGCTGCTTGGTCTCCCTGGGGTCAGCGAGTTATTCTCCGAGCATCCTCTGCTTCTGCTGAACCCAGCTCCTGGGGGCCCAGGTACAGGCCTTTCCCACCTCTAGTGGCCCGGGGCTGGGCTTCCTCGCCTGAGTCTCCCTCCTCCCAGTACAAGCTGTTTCCTTCCCACCAGGCCAGGTGGCGACTGCTGCCTCCTTCCTGGAGCTGGGCTGTGGGGACAGAGGTGCCCATGCAGCTGCGGGGCTCAGGCCTCTAGCTGCCCAGCCCCGCACCTGTGATGTTTCCATGTTTTGTCCGGAGGAGGCTCCGAGCAGGGGGAGGGGATGGGGCAGGACAAAGGGCTGCTTAATATGCATGCTCCTGCTCCCTCCCAGACCTGACCCAGAATGCCTATTGTTGGATATTTTTGCTATAGAAGTTTAACGAACACCACTGTAGCTAAATCTCACACATCTGATTATTTCCTTAGCAAGAAAATGCCTAAAAGAGGAATTTCTGATCAAGGATTATGATACTTTATGCCAAGCTATTCTCCAGAAAGACTGGGCTAGACTCCAAGGAGGGGTGGGTGTTTCATTCTGGGGACAGAGATAAGTGGGCTGCAGTGGGGGAGGCCTGAGCTGTTGTTGGGTGCTGTAGGAGGTGATGGGTGATTTTTGGGCAGGAGGATGTGGTGGTGGGGTGGGAAAACCTAAGGCTGCCTTGGGGACTTAGAGGGGGTCAGAGACAGCCCTGCTTTGCCTGAGGTGGCAGTGGTCCTGTGTCTATGGGCTGATGCTGGTGGCACACCCAGGGTGCCCATGGCTTTGATGGCATAAGCAAATTCCTGTTGGCTGTAGCTTATGCAAGCTCTACCTGCAGCATTCTCTGAACATCCCTTTGTTGGGGGATGTTTTGGGCTGAAAGGACCTGGAGTAACTGGAGGCCCTGGAGAGATGGGGAAGCCTGAGTGCAGCTGTGGGGCTGGGTGGTTCCACCTGGGTCACTGTGTTTTGGGCACTGCACTGAGCCTTCTGAAAAACAGCATGAGGGTTAGTGCCACTTTCAGCACCTGCCATTGTTGAAAGCACTACCCCAAATTGGGTGGGCATTTGGAAGGGGGATAGGATGCAATGGACTGACTGGTGTCTCATGCTCTTCAGAGCCAGGCCCAGGCATGGGAGCCACATTCTGTTCCGGCCACTTAACCTCTCCTTGCAAAGGTGATGACAAACAGGGACAGGAAGGCAGTGCGGCTGAGGTCGGTGGGGACAAGGCTGTCAGGCCTGGCTGCGTGTTAGCATCACCTGGAAGCCTCTGAAACCGTGAAGTCCAGGCCACACCCAGACCAACTCCCTCAGGATCTCTGGGGTGGAGAGGCGGGAGGACCATGGTTCTTTTCTTTTTTTTTTCTGGTAAGACATACACAAGAAATTTTACCATTTTAACCTTTTAAAAGTGTACATCTCAGTAGTGTTAAGTATTAAGTACATTCAGACTGTCCTGCAGCCTATCTTCAGAATTTCATCATCTTCCCAAACTGACACTCTGCCCATTTAACACTAACTCCTCATCCCAGCGCCTGGCACCCACCATCCCACCGCCTGTGCTAGGTGCCTCCTGTGAGTGGAATCCTACAGTATTCGTCCTTCTCAGCCTGGCTGACTTCATTCAGCATAATGTCCTCAAGCTTCATCCAAGTTACATGTAGCACGGGTCAGCATTAGGCTGAACAGCAAAGCAGCCCATTGTATGGATAGACCACACTTTGTTTATCCATTCCCCCACTGCTGGACATGTGGGCTGCTTCCATGCTTGCCCTGTTTCTTAAGTTCCCAGGCTTCCCCGCCTGCACCTGTCTCCGGCCAGCAGGCCCTCTAGCTCTGCATGCAGCCCCGGGGGCTCCACCACACTCCTAGCGCCAGGGCTGCCCTCCACTGTGCGCAGGTCTGACCAGCGCTGCAGGAGGTCCCCTTCCCTTGTCCCCTTTCCAGCAGGGCCTGCTGGGTTAAGGAATCCACACTTAAGAACACTCAAGTCACGTGGTTTGACAACTAACGCTGTGTCAGGCTTTGGGCTGTTATCTAATATTTGGGGGCATTCACTAATACCATATTAATATTAATACCAGCCCCGCCGGGCTCATCCAACACAAGCTGCTGCGAGGATCCTTCGCATCCACGCGCTCCCGGGGCTGCTCCTAAACCGCGGCTGGGCGCGGGGCCACTGCTGCCCGCTGCGGACCTCCTCTGGCCCCCCAGCCGCCCCACTACCCGGCGAGGTCGGATTCGAACCCACGTCTCCCGAGGCACCACCCACAGCGCCGGGGCAGGGGGCCACGACCCTCCGTGGGGGCGCGCGGGGTGGGCCGACCGGTGGCCGGGCGCGCTAGGCTGCGTCCCCGGACGGGCGGGCTTCCCCAGCCTCCCCGCGCGCCCCGCGGCCCTCGTCGGCGCTCGGCTCTGCCCGCGGGGCGCGCAGGGAGGCCCGGGCGCCTGCTCGGGGCACCGGCGCCCGAGGGGGAGGCCCGCCCGCCAGAAGCCGCGCCCACTGCGCGGCCCCCCAGCCGCGGCGCCGGAAGTGGCCCCGCCGCGCTGCTTCCGGTGTGCGGGCGCCCTCGGCCGTGCGCGGGCGGGCGGGCTGCGGACGGCGGAGCGCCCATGGCGGAGGGCGGCGGTCCCGGCGGGCGGGCCGGGCCGGGGCCCGCAGGTAACGTGCGCGCGGCCGCGGGGACGGGGGCCCGGCCGCGGCGTGCGCAGGCCTCGCGCCGGCGTCCTCTCCTGGGGGACTTGCCCCGTAATTGCCGCGCTGGATTTGAGGGGCCGCGAGTGTGGAAGCAGGACACGGGCCGTCTCCCGGCCCTGGGCGTGCCGGTCAGGAAGGCCCCCGGGCGCAGCCCCCGGGGGTGCCGGTGCCCCTCCCCTCCCGCGTCCACGGCGTGCGCGGGTGCTGCGGCCCAGGGACCGCGACAGGCCGCCCCCGGGGCTGTCGGTGACACAGCAGGTGCGGCCCGTGGCCCACGGCGGAGGAGGCAGCCGGACAGGCCACGCCCACCGCCCCGAATAGCCTTCTCGCTTGGGGCTTCGCCTTGAAATGCTCCTGCATAAACAGCTGCACATTTGTTCAGGAGAGGTTCCCCCTTGGCCTGTGGGGGGATCCCCTCTCTGTTGCCCTGGGTACCAACGCATTTATGTGCTTTGGAGTTTACACGCTGGGCTGTGTGTTTGGAGAATACCCCTCCTAAGAGTTCATGAGGTCCTGAGTACTCCACTGAGAAGTTTGTTATTATTCTAACTCTTACAAATGCTGTAATTTAAGATACAGTGTTGACCGAGTCCGGTGCAAGTAGGGCTTTTCCTCTTCCCATCCCTTCATCCACCCCTTCCACAAATGTTTATTGAAGATCTTACATTGGCAGAATCCTTGCTGGGACTGGGGACACCCCAGTGAGTAGGAACAGGCCAGACAAGGCCCCTCCTTCCTGGGCTTTGGCTGGTGCGGACTGACCCTGAGGGCAGCCAGGAGCTTAGGGTCTGGGACGTCCCAGGAGCGAGGGAATGGAAGGAGGGGTGTTAAGGTGGATAGAGGGGCGACTGCTTGCTAGTGTGCGGAGGAGTCCCTGGAACGAAGGCCACGTACAAGGACTTTATATCCACACGGGGCTGCTGTTACTTAGTGTGTTGCAAGCCTGGAGTGGAGAGGCCACAGAGATGTCCAGCTAAAGCTTAAGTGCTCTGTGTGGTGACTGTGTTGTCATTGGAAAAGCTGATGAGAAAAATACAAACTCAAAGTTACTTTTGGGTCTGGAGCTGGGAGAGGGGAGGCTGTATTGAGCTGGGCCTGGCAGTGGGTTGAAAAGAGGTCAGCAAAGGGAGGCCCAGGGAAGAACTTAGCGAACTCACCTGTCAGTCTTTGCCCTACGCCTGCTGAATCTTACCCACTCCTACTTTGAACTTTTTCACTCTTCTGGGGTGAAACTATGCAGTAACTGAAACATCTGAATTGGGATGGTGGTCCCGAGGGGGCCCGCGGTGCCTGCCTGTAGATCTGTTGCAGGTCTGGTTGTGGGAGCAGCTGAGTGACCCATGTGTTTGTGAACCTGCTCTCCCACCTGCTTGTGGCCGTTGTGTCTTACCTCTTCCAGGGGACTGTCAAATCCTGGGGACAGGGAAACGTATTCATCACCCACATTGTACTGTGGCCAAGCCTTGTATACAGTAGGTACTCGGAAGAGATTTGATTTGAATGTAAAAAGCAACTTCCACATTGGGAAGAGCCCACCTGTGGAGGGGCCTGCAGGACAAGTGTGTGTGGTCACAGGCTAGACAGCTGGCCAGACAGAGGCTTGAATGCTGTAATACGACTTCCTGCTCTTTTCTTGTGCTCCTGTCTGTGTAATTAGTTATGTTTACAAAACTCCTAAGTATCTGGAGAATATTTTGGGCTCTAGGGTGAGGTGAAGAACAGTTGTTTGCAGGGAGGTATTTAATTGCACGAATTTGTTGACAGCTTGTTGCTGTAACAGTTCCACAGACTGGGTCGTTTATAAAGAACAGAAATTTATTTTTCATAGTTCTGGTGCCTGAGACCACGGAACCAGCAGATGGTGTGGACGGGGGCCTCCTCCCTGCTTCATGAGGGGCTGTGTCTTCCTGCTGTGCCCTCACGTGGTGGAAGGGGCCTGAAGCTCTCTGGGAATCTCATATTAAGGCCACGGATCCCTTTTATGGGGGTCACCAGCTTGCATGACCTCACCACCTTGGGGGTTAGGATTCCAACATATATTTTGGGGGGACACAAACCTTCAGTAGGTAGCAGCTACTCTTTCCATTCTTCACTGATTTAGATGCCCATTTATCACATATTAAGTTTTTTATGCTGAGGTCTTTTTTGGGCATATGATTCTGTTTGATTTGTTTATCCTTTTCTGATGGGATATAATGAGTTGTGTTATCTGGTAGGGTAGATCTCTTCTCGTATGTACTGAAAAAAAAAAGTGATTGTCATTTATATTACCAATAAACTTTAAGAATATTTCGTCACATCTCCTATAAAAACCCCAAAGAGATTTCTTAACCTCTAAATTTATTTGGTATCATTTAAAATTGTCCTAGCATTGTGTCGTCTCACCCAAGTACTTGCTATAGTTCTCACTGCTTAATTACTCTAGTCCCCCCCGTGGAGCGTGTCAGTTTTATAGTCTTATCATATAGGGCTGGCTTTCTGTGTATGTGCATCTGTTCCTGAGGTGTGACTTGGGTTCGGTTCCGTGCACCACGCTGGTTACCCACGTGGACTGCCCTGTGGCTGTTCCCCACATTGGCATGGTAGGTGGAGTTGTCCATGTCACAAGCAGCCTCATTTGTCTGGCTGTTGAATTTTGCCAAATTCAAGTGTCTTGTAATACAGGAGGTGATATGTTTCTTTTTCCCCCAATATTAAGACATTGCTACATTTTTGGAATGAATTAGAGTAATTCTATGGTAGGTTCTTGATACATATTTAAAATTTCACTTTGGTAGTATTTTAGTAGCAAATCTGTATTTTAAGAGTATAGGATCTTGTATATTAGGTAAGTTTAGCTCATTACCTTCTGCTGCATTGTGTTTTTAAAAATTATCATTGTCAGGTTTTGTGTCAGGAATGTGCTAGTTTCATTAAGGGAAACTTTTTCTGTGCACTGGAAGTTTCTGGACATGGGAATGATTTGTTCTTGAGAGCTCGAGAGGGCCCAGTCTCCAGGAGGGGCGGGCTTGCTGCAGGTGGCGCCCCCTCGTGGTGGGATCAGCAAGGTCGCCATGAGCTGACCGGAGCCCCTCTCTTCAGTGCAGGTCCTAATCTGAAGGAGTGGCTGAGGGAGCAGTTCTGTGACCATCCCCTGGAGCACTGTGAGGACACGCGGCTCCATGACGCAGCCTACGTGGGGGACCTGCAGACCCTCAGGAGCCTGTTGCAGGAGGAGAGCTACCGGAGGTGAGCATCCCTCCCTGCTGGGCCTGGCTCAGAACTCAGGCCTCCTGGGCTGTACCAAACTGAGGCCCATGTCCTGAGGGGTGCACGACTGTGTCTGGTTTGCAGCTGAAGACCCTCATGCTTTCCAGTTCTAGAGGATGGGGAGAAAAGGAGACTGAGAAAGCTCGGTCACATCTGCGGGAGGTAGGGAGACCCGAGGTCAAGTCCAACTCTGTCGTTGACCTTATATTTTCTGGCAACTTCTGGCCACCACTGGGGGTCAGCTTCCTTGGTGCTCCTCCTGACAAGGGCTCCGCCACTCTGTTCCCTGATGGCCCTGCTCCCATGCAGGTCTCTTGGGGCTCTTTATTCTAAGCTGTATGTGTAAATTCACTCCCCGTAATTATTTTCATCTGGTTATCCCCCTTGGGTCCAGACTCCCTGCCGTGCCCACATGTGCATCGCTCCTGTTGTGCCCGTCTCTCTTGCCGCGCTGGCCCTCAGCCCTCTGCCTGCAGGGCCTGGGGCCCATCTTGGGCAGCTGTCTTCTCACCCAGAGATGTGCTGTGTGCTTGCCCTCTTGCTGCCGGGTTCCCTGCCAAATCCCACCACTTTCTCCAAGCCAGGCCCAAGCACGCTGCCCTTATAGCTGAGGAGTCTTGATATAACTTCCCCCCACTCGGGACACCAGGGAGAGCACTGTCTTCCCTCTCTCTGGGGTGTTCTGTGATTGTTTTGTGTGTCCCAACTATATTTTGGTCTTACCTGCAACCAGAAACTTGCTGTGCTTTTTTTGCATTTGTTTCCCCGTTAGGGCTAGGCGGGCAGTGAGTTGGAAGAAGAGATGCCTATGTGTCCATACTGAGGCTATTAACTGTTTTTGTGTGTAGGTCCCAAGGGAAGGATTTCCAACAGTGTAGGAATAGGTTTCTTTCTTCTTTTCCTTCTGATGTCTTAGCATTATTTTATTAGAACAGGTATCATTATTTTTTTAAAAACTCTAAATATCTAGAAGGGATTGTTATAATGACATCACATGGATTATGAATGAATATTTAATATGAATGACTGGAACCCAAAGAAAACCTTAAATTTGTAATAGTAGGGTAAAAACAGTAGAATAAAATAGAGTTCAGCTAGCCTTAGACCAAGTGTTTTCATATTGTTTTTCCTAGTACATTTTTTTTTCTTTCTTCTTGTATGTGGGCTCAGTGACTGTCTTGTTTCTTGATAGTATTTTCTGTTGCTGTGTGTTTCTTTGGGAATGTGTCCTTGGAGCTGTAATGCCTGTCCTGCCACACGCACAAATCCAGCAGGGTAAATACACGAAAGCACTTCGTAGGCAAGAACACAGATGGAAGCGTCATCAAAGGGCAGGGTGACCGGAGAGGTTGCCTTTCCCCTCTGTCTCACAGGACGCCGCCTTCCACGAGAGGAGGCAGCTTGGAGGTTCCGGCCGCCCCTCCCAGCCTGGCTCCCTGTGTTCTTTCTCAGCCGCATCAACGAGAAGTCTGTCTGGTGCTGTGGCTGGCTGCCCTGCACACCCCTGCGGATCGCGGCCACTGCGGGCCACGGGAACTGTGTGCACTTCCTTATCCGGAAGGGGGCGGAGGTGGACCTGGTGGATGTGAAGGGGCAGACCGCCCTGTACGTGGCCGTGGTGAATGGACACCTGGAGAGTGCCCAGATCCTGCTGGAGGCTGGCGCCGACCCCAACGGAAGCCGGCACCATCGCAGCACGCCCGTGTACCACGCCTCTCGGGTGGGCAGGGCCGACATCCTGAAGGCCCTCATCAGGTCAGTGCTGCCAAGGCCCGGCCACCAGTGCCCCCCATGGGCCCCCAGAGAGCGCGGCACACTGCTGCTGGCTTCTGCAGCCTCGCGCTCGCGCTCTGTTGTGTGTATTTGCTTTTTTCTCTCTCTCAGATTAGACGTGTTAAGAGGGTTTGTCTACTCTGTTCGTCTTTTTAAGGAGTTACCTAGCTTTATCAGTTCAATTATTTTTCTGCTCTTACTGATTAGTTTCTATTTTTATCTTTTTTTCCCATTTTCCTTAATTTTACTTTGTTTTGTTCTCTAAATTTTTGAGCTGAGTGCTTATTCATTTTTTTCTTGATGAGTAATGTAAACTTTAGAGGTTATTCATTTGTGTTTGCCTGTAGCTTTGGCCGTATCTTCTAAGCTTTTATCTCATTTTAAAAATAGGTCTAATTGAAGTTGGTTTGGAGGGAAAGTTTTAATACAAATTTTTATGAACTTATGATTTTACTACATTGTGCTCAGATGATGTAAACCATATAATTTCCATTTTGGGGATTCTCTGATGTTTAACATTATTTTTTAAATGTCAAACTGCGTTGTTATGGACCTCAACAAAGTACATGACCGTGATGTTTTGTTTGCATAGTACAACAGGGTAGCCTCAGCTATGTGGTCAAGGTTGCTCTGTCTTTTTTTTCATTTTTAACCTTTGGGTCTGCCCCAAATTAGAGATGTCAGTCAGTCTCTGTCACTGTTGTGATTTATCAGTTTCCCCTGTATTTCTCAAAGTTTTGGCTTCCTGTGTTTTGATGCTAATTGAATTCATAAAAGTTCTTGGCTTATGGGTTGTACTCATTATCAAAACAGAAGGGAACTGTGGGTTTCCTTGAAGGCTTGTTTACACAGCATTCTGTTCTATTTAGTTTTAATCTTAGTGGGTTTAATTAGTTCTTTGGGGACTCACCTTTATTATTTGACTGTCTGGGATTCTTTGTTTTTTTTAAAAATACAGTCAGCATTACCATGATGTTAGGTGTATTTCTGTTATCTTCCTGTTTCTTAACTATTCCTTTATTTTGTATCTTTATTGCATAATGTACATTTTCTTTGCTTCCCTTTATATTATTTTAGGTGGTTTATGTTTATGGTTTTATTTTAATTTTACCACTGGTTACATTTGTAAAATTTGAACCAGATTGCATTTTCATTTTCCATGTCTCCAATGACTTCTTTCTACCAAAGATGCTGTTTTCCCTGCTTTCTCTGGAGGCAGTTAGTTCTGCTGTTGGACAGAGTGCCGCTCGGGGAGCTGGTTCTCCATTGAAAGGGTTAGGTAAGGGTTTGGGGTGGTTCTGAGGAACAGGAAATTGGCATTCTCCACACCCAGTGCAGAACATAGTTTTTAAATGACGTTCTGAGAATATGTTTATTCCTTCAAAGGTTTTATATATTAAATGCTGTGGAGTTGACTTTTGGAAAGCTAAATGAGAGTGATATGGTTGTTTTAAAAGACAGTGGTAAAGCTGTGATGCTTTGCCCCTTCTTTTGAAGTATTTCTAGCCTGATAATCTAAGCTACCTCAGTCCCATCTCTTTGCATCTCAGAGAATGTTAAGTCATGAATCTGGAGATGTTTGTGAGTAGGATCAATAGTGAAATTTCATCTGGGTTCCAGAAATCCCTTTGGGCATTTCAGTCAGTTCACGATGCACACCTGCTTTGAATTCAGTGCAGGCTTGATGTTCAGAAGTACATGCACAGATGCCCTTCGTGAGAGAATGTTATTAAGACGCCTTGTTCCCTTACTGGAGCATAGGACATTACTTTTACAGTGAGGCACTGAGAACACATCTGGTCTGCTGAGAAGCTTTCTGTATTCTAAATTACCAGGTAATTGCCTTTTGGAAAATGGCAGTGATGGGTTAAGTTATTGGACAGATAATAGTCTAAATACAGTCTAAACTCAACTCCTGCCTTTCCTATGTCACTGTCCCTGCTAGGCCAGGCTGCTGTAATTTGCTCTTCCTCTGCAAGTAACCTCCGTTTTGTTACTTGTAAATTCCACTGACATATATTGCTGTTGTTTTCTAAAAAAATGTAACAAGTGGTATTTTTATATGTGCAAAAGTTGTATTGATTCATTGAGTTATCCCAGTGGTTCCTTGCTGGTGACATTAAAAGCAGTAGGGGGATTTTGGAAAATATTCAGGATTAAAATTAACTGGATTCCATCCAGTGTGTTTTTATGAGTGGGTGAAGGGCTGTCTTTCCCCTAGCTCAGCTAACACCAGGTTGTCATACTGCCCAGCATTGCAAAGGATTTGGAAGAGTGTCTGTAGCAGTGGGGAGGAGAAGCGGTCGCCGGCTGACGTCTTGTTCTCCTTTTCTCCGTTGGTTAAGGGTGTGAAATACGTTCTGGTTTCTGCAGTGTGGCTCTGTGCGGAATGCCTCTCTCACTCCCAGGAGACCTGGAGAGTGGGTGGTGCTCGCCTCGTGGTGCCTGCTGACGGCGTGGGGGGACGCGGACTGCCGCGGAGCCCGCTTGGCCTTCCTAGTCCTCAGGCCTGGGCTGCCCAGTGCAGCTGTATTGGTTCCAGAGGCAGGTTCCTTGGGACACTCAGAGGTACCGCAGCCGCTGGCTGGTTCCCGCCCTGCATGTTGGGCCGTCATCATTACTTCCGGCGTGCTGCCATGTCCTAGTTCAGATGAAATACGGGTCGGCGGGAGTTGTGAGGACCACAGGACGGCCGGGGCTGCGGGCGCACGAGGAAGCAGGTGCTGGCTGGCCGAGGCGAACTCGCACTGGAGTCAGGTGGGGGCTTCGGGCCGGAGTCCACCGACACGGGGCTGTGCTTTTCTCCCTTTGCAATCATGTATGACCCCATTTCTCACCATATTTTTAATCTACTCAATTATTTGTGCAGACTCAGAGTTTGCTGTATTATCCATAAATTATAATCCATTATTTTGTCACATTTTGATGGTCAAGTTGTTTCAGGTCTGGCTGTGGGGAGCGCCAGCAGGCCAGCTCTGTGCTTGTTCCTTGTGACATCTCCCCGTCGTTCTTTGAGCTGATCCTTACTCGCTGATATGAAAAGCTATTCTGGGATCATATTGTACTTTGCCTTGGGTGCTTTAATTAGTCTTTCTCCAAGGAGTCCTGGTTTCTTTTGGTGGAGAAGGGTGCTTTAAAACCAGGGTCTGGACACTAGGAGTGCTCACTGCCTGCGGGTGCTGTTCTCAGGTCCTCCTGCTGGGCACAGCGAGGTTACGTGTGCACATTTCTATCTTGTTTCTGTATCTGCACACGTTGGCAGTTGAGAGATCACCCTGATGACCTCTAATCCCTGTGCGCCCGTGTGGGATTCGGCTCCTCACACCGGGGCTGTCCCAGGGCCTCGGAGGAGGAGGGCTCCCGCACAGCCCCAGGGAGCAGCGAGTGCCGTGGGTGTGCCCACGCTGGGGGCGTGGCGTGAAGCTGCCCTGCTGCCGGGCTGTGCTTCCTGTCCTGGCTCCTTCCAGGTGCGTGTGATGTGGGCAGTGGTCTGGCTAGCCTGCATGGTCAGGGCACCTGAAAAAGCCACCCGGCAGCAGGACTTGATGGCGCCAAGTGGGAACACAGTGGGTTAAAGTATTTCTTCTTGCTTTCAACTTTTAGAGGTTGCTTTTCATTTAGTTTACAGTGCATATTTACATGGTTCTGAAGTTAAATCTATAAACTCAATAGCTTTTATCTTTGTGTCCTTCATCCCTTCCCCTAGAGAACTTTAAAAAGTTCTGTGGTTTCTCCTTCCACTGTTAAAAAATGCTCAGACATGTGTATGTGCCTGGGTGTGTGTCATACACCTAATGCATTGCAGCCTTCCACCCTGCCATCCCCCTGGCCAGCCTTCTCACTCCCTGGTGCGCCCCGCAGTCCCTCCTGAGCAGTGTTCAGTGGTGCCCCTCCTTCCCTCTCATAGCGGTTCGGCCCTCCATGTGGGGCGGACCAGGGGCCATCCAGCCAGTCCCCTCTTGATGGACCCCTCGTGATGGGTAGTTTCCTTCCTTCAGCTGTTAGGGGGAATGTTGTGATGAACTGCCTTGTGCATATGTCTTCGCAGAGTTTTGCAAATACATCATGGGAATGGATTCTAAGAAGTGTGATTGATAGATGAAAGGGTGAATGTAGATGTAATTTTGCCAGCTATTGCCAAATTTCCCTCAAGAGGGATTGCTCCCTTTTTGAGTTGCCCCCAGAAATGAATAAGATCTCCTGTTTCTTTAAAACCTGGCCAGGAAACTTAGATTTTTTCCAATGGTAGGTGGGAAGTGGTATCTCAGGGTAGTTTTAATTTGCATTTGTTTTGAGAGAGGCTGATGGCTAAGAGGCATTTCCAGCATCTCAAGCTAATTTTTCTATGCGATGTGATCTTTTCCTTTTAGAAGCTCTTTACATATTAAGGATATTCACACTTTGTATCCTTCCCCCAGTCTGCCCCTTAACTATTTTACTTGGCTTTTGCTGTTTTCTCTGCCATGTCAAAATTATTCTATGTTTAATTTTCATGTTAAAAAGCTTTGCTTTTGAATCTTTTCTTGCTTGCTCTTCCAAATTAACTGTAATCAACTTATGTAGCTCCAGGTATGTTACTTTTATTTATTTATAATCAACTTATTTAGCTCTAGGAATGGTATTTTCATTTATGTAATGAATTCAGGGAAGATCGACATCTTAATGATCTTGAGCCTTCCTGTCCAAGACTGGTATGTCTATTTCCTAAGGTCGACTTTTGTGACTTGCAGTAGTATTTTATAATTTTCCTTGTGCACTTTTGGACATTTAATGTTAAGTTTATGCTTAGATATCTTACTTTAAAGTTTGTTTTGCTACCTTAAATAAGGTCTTTCCCATTTTATCTTTGAACTTTTTTGTTTGTAAAAATGAAGGCTGCTGGTTTTATAACTTGTCACTTTAATAAGTTCTCTCATTGCTTGTGTTGTTATTCTCTGAGAATAGGGAAAACTTTACCTCTTCCTTTCCAATCTTAATAAGCCAGTTACTTACTTTTGTTTAATTGCACTGACTAATACCTTTATTTAAAATGCCTCTAAAAATAGCGGGCCAGGAAATGGCCGTGTGTGTGTGTCTTGCTCCTGCTTCAGCATGAAAGCTCCTAGTGGTCCTTGTTAGATAGATGCTGTCTTCTGGGTTGAAGAAATATTCTTTATCATGTTAAGGAAATATCTGTCACGTCCTCGTTTTTGAGTATTTGTTAACATGCATAAGTGTTGAATTGTATAATACGCCTCTTTGCCTCTGTAGAGATAATCAGGATTTTCTCCTTAGTTCTGTGAATATGATGGGTTATGTTAATAGAATTTCTGGTACTGGAACTTCCCTTGCTGTCTGGGAAAAGCCCCGTGAAGTTGTGTTGCTCTCCTAACGCACCTCTGGGCCCCCTTCACTGCCGTCCCACTGGGCTGGGTCGGCCCTTAAGCGCGGCTGCGGTCAGGTTGTGGGTGGCGGTTTGCTGGTTTCCCAAGATGAGTTTGGAAGTTTTCCTCTGTTTTCTTTGGTTCTAAATAGCTGAAATAGCTGTGGGATTGTTGGATAGTTAAGGTTTGAAAGAACCCTTAGGAATGTTTTTGTGTGAGTGGATTTCCAGTTCTTGGCTACTGTCTTACCTTGCTGGGAGTAACGGGACCGCTGTGATCTGAGGAGTCGCGAGGCTCCCCGGTGCTCACAGAGCCCAGGCCCGTCTCCCCTGGACGCTTCGGGCTTCCTCTGGAAGCTGCGGGCTTCGGTGGTTAGTCTGCTGCAAGGTCTGATTGTCCCTGTGTCTCCCCTGTAGGTACGGGGCTGACGTCGACGTCAACCACCACTTGACTCCCGACATCCGGCCCCCTTTCTCCCGGCGCCTCACCTCCTTGGTGGTCTGCCCCTTGTACATCAGCGCGGCCTACCACAACCTCCAGTGCTTCAAGCTGCTCCTCCAGGCTGGGGCGAACCCCGACTTCAACTGCAACGGTCCTGTCAACACGCAGGGCTTCTACAGGGGCTCCCCTGGCTGTGTCATGGATGCTGTCCTGCGTCACGGCTGCGAGGTGGCCTTTGTGAGCCTGCTCGTAGAGTTTGGAGCCAACCTGAGCCTGGTGAAGTGGGAATCCTTGGGTCCGGAGTCGAGAGGCAGAAGGAAGGTGGACCCCGAGGCACTGCAGGTCTTCCGAGAAGCCAGAAGTAAGCACCCTGAGTAGCTCCAACTTGCAGTCTGTTTGTGTCAACTGAATGAGCCAAGTTAGAGCGATTAGAAAAACAAAACCTTCAACTAAACAGTCAGAATCTTCATTTAGGACTAGGAGTTTTTCAGAGTAGTTGTCAAGATTGGTCTTTTGATTTCCTAGACACCAAGAGTTGATACCAAGAATTCTATTAAAGTACATGTTCTCAATTCCTGGAATTATATTTTCCCCCCTTTGCTCTGCTTTGTGACCCCAAATTCTTCCACCTACCCATGGTTTTCAATGTTGGCCTTACAACAAATTGCAAGCCCTTCCTTCTGTGGGGACCCTCACTTGGCTTTCTTTGGTTCCTTTCAAATACCGTTGATTTGGATTGCATGATTACCTGTCATTTTTGTTACAATAGAGCCACAATCTGCTTATTTATGAAGAAAGAATTTTTTAAGTGAATTAATAAGCTGACAGCCAGAGAGTTTGCATTCGATGCCTGGTGGTGTTAGAGGCTGTCTCTGGGACTCTGAAATGGGCTTCGTGTCCTCTGCAGGCTGCTGTGTGTCCTGTGTGACCTGCCCAGACCCGGCCCTATTCCCACCAGCTCTCGAGGGCATCTGAGTTGACAACCTTTTCCCTGACCCTTACCTCTCCCAGAACTTCAGCTTACTGTGTCTTTGTTGGTGGATTTTCCGAAACCCCTTGTTAAAATGGGCTCCTGTTGAGCCTTTCCCAGAAGGCGCAAGACAGTCGGAGCTGTACTGACCGAGCAGAGCCGCCTGTGTTTGTGCCTGTCTCCTGAGGCAGGATGGGCACCAGGCTGTTTGGACTGGAGTGAAGCTGTCACCTGTCCTTCTTCTGTACTGCTCGGCCTGTGTCCTGCCAGTCCCTTTGGAGGTTCTGGGATTGACCAGGAATAGAAGCTGAAGGTGGTGAAGGCCCGGTGTTCACACCTGCTGAGGCCTTCAGCAGTCAGCTCTTCTTTCTCGGTCCAGAGAATTGCACGGAGTCCAGGTGAAGCTGTTCCAGAGAGCAGATGCCCCAGGTCATAAGGATGGTTTTACTCCTTCCTCAGAAGGGCAGGTGACAAGACCGTCCTCACCGGGGCCTGCTCTCCTCTCTAAAATGTGGGAGTCGGCTCTGTTGGGTCACAGCCAGCCTTTGGGCTTGGAGGTCTTTGGAGAGGAATTAACCTCCCCCCTCTGTCTCTCCCTGTCTTCCCATGGCATTCTAGGTGTCCCCAGGACCTTGCTGAATCTGTGCCGTGTGGCTGTGAGAAGAGCTCTTGGCAAATACCGACTCCATGTGATTCCCTCGCTGCCTCTGCCGGACCCCATAAAAAAGTTTCTGCTCTATGAGTAGAATTCAAGTGCAGGGGTCGATTGCAGTGAGGAGGAAGGTGGCCTGCGGGAGGCGACACCAGTCCTTGGCTCATGAACCACTTCCTGTCGCTGCTGCTGAGACCCATTTGGCTGTCGGTAGAGCAGAGACAGCCTTGTTCTCATGGCTTGTGATTCCATCTGGGGGGCTGTGGCATCTCACAGTCCTTGTCATTGGCAGCCAAGAGGCTTCTACAAAGCTTCTGTTTGCTCTTCCTCAGTTTCTCTGTTTTGGATTTTCATAGTTGCATATTAATGAAAAGGGCCTTGAAGTATGTGCAGGTATGGGCTGAGGGTGGAGGCTGCCTCCATTCCCGGGGTGGGGCGGGGGACGACTAGCACTTTCCAGAACAGTGCTTCGGTGTGTTTACTTCTTTATTTCATCGCTGGATCAAAGCCTCCTAACACCTGAGTGAGCAGGGAGTTTTGGTAAAAGAGTGGGGGACAGAAGTGCAGTTCTCGAATGTGCTGGCTGGTTTTCCTGCTCCTGGGGTTGGCGTGTGGCGTTTATCCTGCACACACCCTCCCCTGCCGCTTTGGTGTCCTCTTGTGCCGGGACTGTCATGTGAATTGTCTTTGTTCAAAGATGGTTTCCTGGCCACACGGATGGTCTGTTTTCTCAAGAGTCAGTGTCTGCATTTGTTCTAAATCCACCACTCCCAGCTCCCCAGTGCTGAGCCAGCTAACTGTGCCTAGCATCATGCCAGCCCGTCTCAGGAGTCTCTGCTGTTTCACTCTGGGAGGCTTCCAGACAGCAACTGACTGTGGATGCCAACACTGAAGAACCAGCCAGTAAGTGACGCGTGCGTTTGGACCAAGGATTGCCCCAACAGCATTCACTGCCAGTTCTAACAGAGGAAAATAACCTGCAGTGCCATCTTCTGGGTCCTGCACATGCCAGAAAGGGGGAAGTTCAGTCGCCTTCTGGATGGTTCCAAGCTTTAAGTTGCTTGGTGTCCAGTGGACAGAACATCTGGTGGCTGGTTGATGGCTTGTCACTTTTTTGGACCTAATATCTTGGTAGTTGCTCTAAAGCCTGAGAAAGGGGCCAGCAGCAAGGTCAGATGCCCTCCCCTGGCCTGCCAGGCAGTGGTGGACAAGTGGGGAGCTGGGTCACCGTCCTGATGTCTGGCTGTGGCCAGGGCTCACCCACACCTGGGCTGTGCAGCTGGGTGGGCGCTGTGTCAGCAGAGTGAGGCAGTGGGCCAGTGGGCATGGCAGGTGTGCTGTTTCCAGGGAAACCACACTTGTAATTTGAAGCCTGAGGACCATTATTGGATCTCGTGATTGTAACTTGAGAAGTGTTTAGAAACACACAGATTCCAAATCTATGTTTAGGTTTTCTGTAATAAGAGAAATCTAACTTGTAACAATTGAACTAATGATAGCTGTTTATTTAATTATTAACATCATTGTGTGTGTTCATGTAGCAGACAGGCAGGGCTTAATCATTGTTGGCATAACCTGAGGACAGACTTCTGAAGCCACCTCGGGTGTTGCGGATGGGCTGTGGGAAACCATGCACCCAGGGGGCTGAGGAGAAAATTCCCTGATGACCAGCGGGAGGCACAGCCACTGACCGGGGGCTTCACTCAACGGAAGGGATGTGGCTGGCCACACGCTGTGACTGGGGCGTGAAGGGGGCATGGCTTTCTGAGGCCTGAGCCCGGGCTGAGCTACTCCTAAAGCACCAGGAGCCTAGTTGTCTGGGTGCATTTGGAGCTTGGGGTTGGTTGTTTCAAGTCAGGAGAGTCTTCCTGGCAGAGGAGAGGGACTGCGGGGCTGGTGGTGGCCACTGAGGGCCATTACAGCCAGCGCCAGGTGCTGCAGGGCTTCAGCGGCAGAGGACCGCGCATTTTTTTCTGGCACTCAAGGTGGGACCAGGACCAAAATTGGGCTGTGGCTAGGGCAGGTGGGGCTTGCTGAGACGTAGGGAAGGGTGTATGGACGTCTGAGCCCCCCATGGGTGGACTGGGCCTCGGGAGGGGGCTTCCTAGCCCCTGGGGTGTGGAAGCGGGCCTGTTGCCTTCCCGGTAGGCCCAGCTCACCTTCCCTGCTCTTGTAACTGGGGGCTTCTTCCTGCCGCCCTTTGGCTCAGGCTCTCTGTGGGTGAGCTGTGCTGCCGCTCTGAAACGCGCTCTGGGTCTGCCCCCCTGATTGCCTTCTGCAGGGGCCTCCAAAGGACAGGGCCTCCCAGGAGCTATGCCTGGGGTAGGAGGGTGGCTCTGCTCTCAGACCTTCTGGAAGTGCTGCCAGTGCAGGGGTCCCACACGTGTGGGCACGGCCTTCAGGCCGCACAGAAGCAAGGGCCCAGCACTGAGTGGGTGTCAAGCTCCTCGCCCAGGGAAGCAAGTGCAGGGTTTGTTCCTGGGGCCTTGACCCAGTTTTCCAGGGTCTCTGCACAAAGGAGGGACTGAGTTGATCCTCATAGTTGGGTCTTGTCCAGACGTGGCCAGGGAGGTGGTGTGGCTGGAGAGTGGACGAGTGAGGGAGTAGGGGCTGCCCTGCTCTGCTCCTGGGTTTGCCGTGTGCTCTGGGCCTGGCCGAGGAGGCGAGGGCTTCAGTTCCGCCTGTGCAGAGGACAGGCCGCTTGCTCTCCATTCAGCCCACTTTTGCTGATCTGTTCAGAATCCAGCAGCTCTGAGGTCGACCCTTGAGTTGGAAACAGGGCGCTGGCTGCTTAAGGCCGCGCCTGTCTGGTCCGAGTGGCACTCACCGCACTAAAGCGCCCTTATTCTTCTGTTGGGTGGCATAGGGCACAGAATAGGAAAGAGTGACTCTCCCCATTGGAGCAGTTTACGGATCGTGCCTCTGAACCCTGGGGCACGATCCTTCCCACTCCTAGGGAAGGACACTATGGGCAGGGGGAACCAGGGGAAGGAGCTGGGGTGTCTGCCAGCTGGGTCCGGGGAGTGCCTGCCTGTGGCCCTTCTGCCACCTGGGGCGCCTGCTGGCTGTTGCTCTGCGTCCTGCACTCTGGGCCTTGGCTGGTGTGCTCAGGTGGGCTGGGGTCAGTCTGGGGCCGGCGGCAGCATTGGTGCCTCTGAGAATCCAGCTCTGGCATCCTGGGTGGGTGTCTTGAATATATTCCCAAACCTTTCAATGCCATACACACCTGTGCCTTTTCATAGCGCTTGTTATTTGTATATTTATTTATTCATGCTCTGCCTTGTTCCAGAAAAGGGTATGGGGCAGCGAATACTTGGATATTGGTGTTCTGCTTTGACATGTGGTAAGTTTTGGTCAGCATGCCCTTGTTAGATAATTTTAAAGAGAAAGGGCAATTAGCAGTTTCCTAATGTTGACTGTGTTTCTGTTTTCAGGCTTATGTGCCATCATTTGAAGTTTTCTTTTTCCTTATTCCATGAATCGATACTGCAAGTAAAAGGTTCAGGTAGAAGTAGAAAGATGAACACAGGGCAGAGGCAGCCTGGCTCCGCGAGAGGCACCTGCCCGCGCTTGCTGCCTGGAGCGGCGCAGCCGCGGCGCATCGGTGGGGGCCGCCCTCAGGCGGGTGGGCTTCCGGAGTGCCCTTCCCACAGGGCTCTGTGCGGACACGGGGGAGAGCACATGTGGAAGCACTCTGTACTTGAGGGGTCTGTGCCTTGTACTCTACTGTCCCTCTTCCCAGGGGATGCGCGTTTGAGGCAGTGCCAGGGCGGGCAGAGCCTGCCGGCGGGAGTCATGGAGGCCCGGCTTCTAGGCATTGGGCACTCAGGGTCAGAAGCATGAGGACACACACTAAATAATTTATGAAGTCAAGTTTATTCAACTTAAAGGTCATCTATTAGATTAGGTCCTTCCTAATTTGGGTGATTAAATGTCCTTTTATGTAATGAAGGTCATCATAGAGGGAAGTATTTTTATTTTTTAAAATGCTCTTATTTGCCCAAAACAGAAAAGTTGGCTGCCCATTGTCGAGCCCCAGAATTTCTTTTTAAGTTTGCCAGCCCCGGAAATCCCAAAGTCGGGGGACCAGTTTAGCTATAGTGTGTGTTTATGTAATGATGAGAAATTCCCCTTGGATTCGTGGAACAGCCCGCGCGGTGCTGAAGGGTGTGGAAGCGTTCCCGCTCCCTGGTAGCACAAGAACAGACTGAGATCGCCGTGTGCGGTGTTGGGCGTGCGGCCTTATGTCCTGGCAGTGCTGGAGCTGATGGGCAGAGCTGACCTGTGTGCTGATGGGCCTCTGGCCACCCCTGCATTCTTGGGGGACACTCCCAGATATTTGTGTGGCCTTCTCACTTGAGGATGGCCTGTACCTCCGGCCCTGGGTTGGTGAAGGCGTTGGAGGCAGGTCTGCTGGCCCTAGGACTGCTCTCCGGGTGCTCAGTGACCAGCCGTGAGGGTCTGGACTCCCCGCCTGCTTAGATGGCCCTCCCGGAGCTGCCTGGTTTGGCCCTGGTTGTTTCTCTCTGGCTCACTTTGCCTTCCCCCCCCACCCTGCACTACCTGACCCCCTAGGTGTGGAGTGAAATAGCTGACAAGCACGCATAGCTGGAGTGGGATCCTGTCCCAGGAGACTTCCACAGAAAGGACATGCTGATTTTGAAGTGCAGTGATGTGTGGAATATATACTTACCAAGTCTGGCTGGACGGTGGGGTGGAGGTAGGAGGTAGTGTGGAGAGGCGGGGTGACTTCTGCCTTCTGCTCGGTGTCTGGAGTGCCTGGGGGACTCCCTTTCTTTATGCCGTTTTGATTTCACATCTCTTCCAAGTAAAAATGTGAAAGTGCACAAGCCCGGTTGGAGTGTGGCGGTCAGGGCACAGCTCTGTGTGTGTGTGTGTGAAATGGGTTTGCTGCTGTGGCTTAGCCAGCAGGGTCCTTGCTCTGCTCCGTGTTCGCACCTCTACAAACTACCTGTTTTGTGTCAGGCATGAGGGCGACACGCAGCGGGGCCTGCGGCCTGGGGAGAACGCACCGCTGCCCTTCCGCTTCTCCGTCCTGCCTGCTAATGAATGTGTTTGCCACACAGCCACTGGGACAAGGAATGTTTCTGCACTGTGCCTGAGTGAGAGCTTTCCTAAGTGTGAGGGACAGCTTTGATAGGTCATTGTAACTTTAATAAATGCTTTATTCCCTTTTAATCCCCCCCCCCAGATGCCTTAATTTTGTGGGCTGTTTATCTCAGTGAGTATTAGAATTGGCTGTATGTAATTTTGATATACCCATTTCAGGTGGAAGTGACCCTGGCTCTTTGGAAAGTTCCTAATGGTTTGGAGAGGACTCATTTAAACTTGAGCGTCGCCCTAAGTGTCGTAGGGAGGCCCTCCGAGTGTCTCACAGGCTTAAACGGCTGGGTGAGTCTGCTGCTTAGTGGGATTTCCAGTTTGGAGAGTGTCCCAAAGTGTTTGAAACCCATAGCTTTCATGCAAGGTGACGTCCCTGCCGTGCTCTGGGGGGTGGGGATGTGGTGGAGACTTGTGGGCAAGGCCATTGGTTCTGGGCCTCTGTTACATCTTGATGGTGGGAAGATGAGGTGTTAAAGCTGTGGGGTGAAACCAGGAATGAATAAACTAAATAAAGACATTTGTTCCCCTCTCAGTGACTCCCTCGCACATTCCCTGTATCTGCTATTTCTGATAATCTTTTCACCCCTCACACCCTCCCACAGACACCTCCCTCCTGCTGCACTGGAAAGGTGGCCTCGCTTCCGGCCTCACACCAGCTGGATTTGTGCGCCGTTTTACTTCACTCTCCATTCTTTCCATCTGTGATAGCAGAACCCCTGGTTTTTGCTGGTGTCTTGCCAATCAATGGGTTTCAGCCATGGGCAAGTTTGCTATGGATTCAGTGTGACCAAATAAAATGACAGCAAAATGTTCTTGGGGTGAAAGGGATATATGCAACTTTATTTCCAGGTGGCAGGTCAGTCATTAAAATCCCGTTCATTCAGAGCGAGTCTGCATGTAGCAAGCCAGTCTCTCCCCTTGCCTCTAGGCCCCTCTTTCTGCACAGCCGTCCTCTAGGCCTTTCTGCCTGCACAGCCGTCCCACACAGCCATCCTCTGGGCCTCTCTGCACAGTTGTCCGGCACAGCTGTCCTCTGGGCCTCTGTCCTTGGTGCTGCCACCAGCCTCTGCTCTACTCTCCTGCAGCCCTGCAGCCCTGCTCCCGTGTCATGCCCACAGCACTGGGCGGAGCTCTTTATACAGAGTCAAATTGCCCACAGGTGTCAACCAGGGCCAGGTGAGAATCCTGGCCACAGGAACTTCTCATTTTATCCACACTGTACACTTGAATTCCCAGAACAAAGCCTTCATTTCCCAGCCCTTACATATAGCCACATGGGGTCATTTGCCATAGCTCTTTCCTGAAATCTCATTAAAATGACAGGGAATTTCTTACTCTTAATAATCCACTAGGATGGCTATAAATAGCAACACAATTTTGAAACTTCTCAAGGAGACTTGAATGTTGTCCAACATTGAAACATCTGAGAAAACAACACTGTAAGAAATGAGACATCTGAGAACCTGATTTTACCGCAGAGCCCAAAGGCTATGGGATTGGCAGTTCCTGGTGTCTCTAGGAGTGGTGGTGAAAAGGGGTGAAAGGAGAGAGTTGGCTGAAGGCACTTTAAGAGGCAGTTAGGACTCTGCAGCACACACAGGCGGCTGGGTAACTGAAAGGAGGTGTGCCAGACCCAGCCTTCTGTGCGGATAATCCTCAGCCTGCTCACGCTCAAATCCCCCAGCAGGAAATAAAGCAGGCAGAGATGTGTCCCCGGCCTGAACCTATAGCACCGAGCTAAAATGGCGTCACTTGTGTAAGGGACAAACGGGAGGTGGTTGGTCAACATGGGCGTGTAAAGGAAACAACTTAAGGTCACAGGAATTTATAGCTCTTGGGAATCAGCAGGACACCAGCCAGTCCCCAGACACCAAGTCTCTTCATGCTATCTCTGGAATCGTTACCCCAACTCAGCTACCCGGATGCGAATGAGGAAGATCATTTGGCAACCAATTAGCTGAGAAGGCCGCATAATTATCACATTTGTCCCATAAAAAATCCCTGAGTCTGCAAGCAACTCAGAACTCGTTGCTCCTGTAGCCTTGAGTTTCCTGACTTGGGCTTGCAGTTCAAAAGCCTTGCAATGAACCCTTCTTTCTGCTTTGTTTCATTCGCTATGCAGAGTTTGGTTTTCGACAAAAGAAAGACCAATGATATACCAATTTTAAACGTGACCAAAGAAATGTTTCCACGTACTACAGTGGATTTCAGCCGACCAGGGAGGCTGAGAAGGACGGCTGTACGGTTCCACGTGACAAGGGCCACCCTAGTGCTGACTTCAGAAGAAGAAAGACTAAGTCCAGGGAGAGGAAATCCTGGGACAAAATACCTCTAAAACCGCAATCAGTCAAAGGGAGAAATAAAGTTTAAAATCCGTTTATTGCTTACAAACTGCAGTCTGGGCCGTCTCTCTCTCCTGCTCCGGCAGAAGCAAACCAGGCCCTCCCCCTAACCCCTCAGGTTGATAAGCCCTCGTTGCCCAGGTAATTAATTACCCACTGATACGGAGATGAATTCCCCACCCCTGAGGAATGCCTGTTGATACGCAGATGCACTAAAATCCAGGCAAGATATTCTGGAAATATTACAGTTCTACCTACAGAAGACTCTTGCCAAGTCATCACTGGGGTTTCGGAACACTGGGTAGAGGAAACCCTACAGCCTGCAGGAAGGGCAAGCAGGACACACGCAGCGTCAGGAACTGGGGCAGCTCTGGAGTTCTCAGCGCCTCGCTGGGCGGGAAAGGGATGGACCCTGGCTTTCGGGATTCCGACGGAAATGCTCTCAGCCCGATTAAGTCAAGCTAAAGTCTTGTAGTTTCTTTAAGCATCTACCTTCCACGCAGCCTTTCCTGGGAAACTAGCCGAGGATGCGCTACTCCCGCGTGACGGGAGAACACGCGGTACAGGACCCCCCAGCACGGAAGGCGCCGGCCAGGCGTGAGCGCGCCCCGGGGACGGTGCCCGCTGACGGCGTCTTGGTGGTTCCCAGGCCGCCCCTCGCCCGCGGGCTGCCTGCTCGGCAGCCGGGGTGACCCCCTGGCAGGCGCGGGGAGCGACGGGCGCCGCCCCACCGGGGTCGGCCGACGGCGAGACGAACGGACAGCGCAAGGCCAAAGAAAAGGTGCAGAAACTAATTCAAAAAGCGGCAGTTGCTTCCTTCCAAAGAAGGAAAACCGACACGCCTCTGGGGAGCCAAGTCCAGGCAAAGGGCCGCAGCCCCGCCGAAGCGACCTGCGACGCCCGCCACGGGGCCCCGCGCGTCCCCCGGGCCGGGCGCGCCTGCGCGTGCGGGCGGCGTGGGGCGGGGCTTCCGGGCTGCCGGCCGGGCCGTGCGGGCGCGCCCGGGGGCTGCGGGGCGGCTCGGGGGGCTCTCGGTCTGGCCGCGCGCCTTCTCCCGGGGGCCGGGCTCCCTGGTAGGGCTCGGAGCCCGCGGCGGGCCCCTTGCGAACAGGGCGTCTGGGTGGGTGCGAGGTCAGGGCTCCCGGGCAGAGGAGGCCCGCCCCGGGAGCTGCGTGGTCCGGCCCCAAGGACGGTTCCCGCTGGCCGAGCGCCGGGCGCCCCCGCGGCAGCAGCCCCCCGTGAGGAGGCGTGGGGGAGGCCTCGGCGTCATCCCAACACCGGGTCCCAAGCGACTCGGCCGAGGGGAGCCCTGCCGAGGGGCGCCAGCAGGGCCTGCGGACAGCCGCGGGCGGGGCGCGGCAGGGAGCCCCGGTGTGCGGGGAGGCCACGCAGCGGCCGGGGGCTTCCTGCTGGGACGCGCAGACGGAGTGCGTGCGGGGTCGGCCCGCAGCCCCCCTGGAGGCGGGGCCGGGCGCAGGGGACATGGGAAAGTGGGCAGTCAAAAACCGAGCCCCGTTCAACACCAGAGCCCACTCTGGAGAAAAGCCGTATGGGGGGCGGCCAATGCGGGAAGAATACACGTAGGGAAGGATGCACGCTTTTTTGGCATGAGAAAGTTCACAGGAAAGGTCTCACGGTCGCAGTAGTATTGGAGAACCCAGGCCCACACCTCTCGGCCCATCTGGACTCAGAAAGTTGACATGCTTCAAAAAAAAAGTCCTTTTGAAAGTACTGATGAAGCATTTGGCCAAAGGTCCGCTCTGATTTAACTCTGGAAGGTCACAGCCCAGGAAGGTGTTAGGAATGCAGCAGATGTGGGAAAACCTGCCAAAACTTAAGATTAGTGTTGCATTTTAAAAGGCTCTTAAGTGTGGCTAGAGTGAGAAAGCATTAAACTGCCAGTCAAAACTCATTCACATCCAAGGCAAATTCACATTCAGGGATGTGTAGATGGGGGAAGGCCTTTGCTCAAAGACTTCCTCATTCAGCACCAGCAAGTTCACCATAGAGAAGGCCTTCTGAGGCCCTTCGCCAAGGGCCTCACCTCATTCAGCAACAGAAAGGTCACACTGGAGAAAGACCCTAAGGGCAGGAAATGTGCACCCTCCTTATTCAAGAGAACCGAATGTGCGCCCTCCTGAGAACAGCCTTGTGAGATGCCATCAGCCACAAGGCAAGCATCATACCACCTGTCCTGGCAATGTTCCTTACTAGTGGCGGGCATGAGTGAAGTTTTCAGGAGCTTTATGTAGCGCTTTGGAACCTGCCCCGTTCCCTTGCCAAGGTTTTCTTACTGCCTGTGGCAGGAACCATCTCACCACTCTGCCAGCTGGGAGGGATGCATAGACTGTCCACTGCGCTCTTCCCATTCCCCGGAGGGCCTCCCAAGCAACCTGAGGCCATTGGTGGGCCTTATTCTCTTCTTGACTACTTAGGGCACAGGTGTGACCCAGGTTTGGCTAGGAGGACTACAGCTGGTGTCTTTTATTTTATTTTATTTTGATATCATTAATGTACAATTACTTGAACATTATGGTTACCAGACTCCCCCTATTATCAAGTCCCCCCCACATACCCCATTATAATCACTGTCCATCAGCGTAGTAAGATGCTATAGAATCATTACTTGTCTTTGTATAAACTGCCTTTCCTGTGTCTGCCACCTCCTACATTATGTGTGCTAACAGTAATGCCCCGTTTGCCCCTTTATCCCTTCCTTCCCACCCCTCCTCCCCAGTCCCTTTCCCTTTGGTAACTGTTAGTCCATTCTTGGGTTCTGTGCTTCTACTGCTGTTTTGTTTCTTCAGTTTTTCTTTGTTCTTATACTCCACAGATGAGTGAAATCATTTGGTACTTGTCTTTCTCCGGATGGCTTATTTCACTGAGCATAATACCCTCTAGCTCCATCCATGTTGTTGCAAATGGTAGGATTTGTTTTCTTCTTATGGCTGAATAGTATTCCATTGTGTATATGTACCACATCTTCTTTATCCATTCATCTACTGATGGACACTTAGGTTGCTTCCATTTCTTGGCTATTGTAAATAGTGCTGTGATAAACATAGGGGTGCACATATCTTTTTGTATCAGGAATTTTGTTTTCTTTAGATTCCCAGGAGTGGAATTACTGAGTTGAAGGGTATTTCTATTTTTAGTTTTTTGAGGAACCTCCATA